ACAATAATTATTTAGATGCCGATGCTGCTTGGAACTGTGTGTGTGAGTTTAAGAACCCCACATGTGTAGTAGTAAAGCATACAAATCCATGTGGGGTAGCTTCACGCGATGATATCCTTGAAGCCTACAGGCTTGCTGTGAAAGGTGATCCAGTTAGTGCATTTGGTGGAATTGTAGCTTTCAATGTGGAAATTGATGAGGTAAATTTTGCCATTAAGCTTCAAATTATCGGGAATGTTTTATTGGATGAGTATGCTTTGTGGGAATTTCTCATATTTGGCAAGCAAATGTTGTTTTCCGTAGTTGTCTGATTTTCAAGTAGAGACACTTTGTCATTCTCAACATTTTACTGTTTATTATCCAATTAGGGTAACAAAAAAGGAAATATTTTACATTCTGATTGCTTCATTTATTGTATTCTAGGCTCTTGCAAAGGAGATTCGAGAATTTAGAAGCCCAACTGATGGAGAGACAAGGATGTTTTATGAAATTGTGGTTGCACCTAGCTATACAGAGAAGGGGCTTGAGGTCCTCCGTGGAAAGTCCAAGACTCTAAGGATTCTTGAGGCCAAAAAGAATGAGCCAGGAAAGCTTTCACTTCGACAAGTTGGTGGAGGGTGGTTAGCTCAGCATTCAGATGACTTAACCCCACAAGACATCCAATTTAATGTAGTCTCTGAGAAATCTCCACAAGAGAGTGAACTTCATGATGCGGAGTTTGCGTGGTTGTGTGTGAAGCACGTCAAAAGCAATGCTATTGTGATAGCAAAGGTTGCTTTATGTTGTATCTCGAATTGACACCTTGCTCTAATGCTGCAGGTTCACCAATCTGATTTTTCCTTCGCAATCAATTTTTGCAGGACAAATTTATGCTAGGCATGGGAAGTGGGCAACCGAACCGTCTAGAGAGTTTAAGAATAGCTATGAGAAAAGCTGAAGATGAGGTTAAAGGAGCAGCTCTAGCTAGTGATGCCTTCTTCCCATTTGGTAAGTATTACTATCTAATAAAGGAATTGCAATATCAGTACATGGGAAATAATTATGAGTTAGTTAAAATGAAGGAAAGAGAATAGTTAGTTGTTAGGTGTTCAGGAATGTACAAGTGCTTGATATGAGCTTCTTCCTCATTCTCCTGTGCATGCCTTTGTAAATAGGTATAAGCCTCGTACAGTAAGAATGTTGAATGAATTTAGAATTACTATTAGGTTGAACTACTATTAGGTTGTGTTTGGCAAGGCTTTCGGCATCCTTTATCGCTTCGTTTACCTTGTTATTTTATTGCATGCTTGACTCATAATTTCATGGAGTTTTGTCTCTTGGTCTCGTGTCCATGGCCGTGGGTATGCTATTACCTTGTTGTAGTAACCCAAAGCACTTTAAAAACATGACTTTTACTTTCCAATAAAAACCATGTTCAAATCTAAAAATGGTTTTGAATATGGCTTCCAGATACTACATGGTTTGATACATAGGGAAAAAAAAACCCATTCAAGTCAAACCATAATTCCATCTGTCTATGTATTATAAATATTAGACTAAGATTTTATACACATTCCAATGTTGTATTTTTTTTTTTAAACAGAACTTTTTTAATCTAATGTTTGAATAATTTAGTAAACTTGTATTATATGGGGATAATGTTGGGTTCAAACAAGACACAGATTGAGACTACCGTACCCCGTGTTTGTGTCGAATCTGAACGAGAAGGATCCAGTTTTCTCGAACTTGCTCAAAACCTCAATCAAATGTTGATTTAACTTTGCCTCATGGATTGAGAGGTGGGAAAAGATTTTTTGGATATCTATCTCTGAACACACATTGCTGTCTCTTGATTTATATGCAGCTTGGAATGATGCAGTGGAAGAAGCATGTCAAAGTGGAATAGGTGTAATTGCAGAACCAGGTGGTAGTATCAGGGACAAGGATGCTATAGATTGTTGCAACAAGTATGGCGTTTCACTGCTTTTTACCAATGTGAGGCACTTTAGGCATTGATAATGGAGGGTCTGAGTTGAGTGTTGCTATTTTGTTTGGAGGTAACTTTTTGGTGGTAACATTCACACACAAGCTCAAATCTGCTCTTTTTGATGTTAACATTCACACTCACAAGCTCGAATCTGCTTTTTCTCCACCGTTCAAGTGGCTGAATGAGTGATGAGATTGTGCCATCCTTTTTGTAGACTGGAAAATAGCGTAATAATGTTCTCCATCTTGCTTTATAATACTAGCTAAACCTTCCAGGACATCATAAAATTGGAACGAGCTAATCCTTGTTGTCTTTTATTTGGGAAAAGTTTGGATGAGAATAATATGATAATAGGGAAAATGACAATTAAGGACCTTATAAGAACATAATGACAATTACAGACCTTGAATTATAGAAATTTTAATAACAGATTAGGGTTTTTACTTGCAATTAAAAAAATGCTAATAGTTAGTTAGGAAATCAATAAAATACACTTAAGATTATTTATAATGTTAGTTATGAATTTACGAGAGTCAGTGGTAAATTTTAATTTTTTGTTGTTAATGTGCAAATAACTACTCAAAAAATTAAGAAAATATATTTGAAATTATTTATAACGTTAATTAAAAATTTATGAGAGGTAGGTGAGAATTATAAGTCAATCATTTGTATTTTTTTTTACTATTAATAATAGATAATTCAATTGAAAATTCACAAAATATGTGTAAAATTATTTGTAGTGTTAGTTAAAAATTTTGAAAATTAATTGTAAATTACAAGCTAATCATTTGTGTTTTTATTTTGCTATCACTTGAAAAATTAATAAAAAATATTTGAAAATTTTTGTAGCGTTAGTTAAAAATTGATAAAAAGCCTGTTATGAATTTTAAGTCAATCCACAAAAGATAATTCATTAGAGGTAAGCACTGTGATCTACTATTGACATTTCAATAATTCAAAATATGTAATTGTCATTAATGTTGGATCTTTAGATGTCATTTGTCCATGATAATATTCTAATGGAAGCATAGTTCAATTAATACTACAAGTCTTGTGGATTATATATGATTTATTTTCACATACTAGTGCCTTGCTTCACTAGAACGGGCACCTTTCTAGAGCCTTGCATTTAAGGTGTTTTATAGGTCTTGGGCTGTAGGCGTGGTTTGAATAGCAAGAAAAGTGAGAAGAAAATAGAAATGAGAGAATACTAGAAATTTAAACCTAAAAAAAATTTAATTAATTTTGAGTGTTTTTTCCTTTCTAGTATTTAATTTTCTCTATATATTTTTTCTATCCAAACTAAGAGAGAGTTGAGTGTGACTTTTGCCTTTAACAACATTGTGCTATGACTCCGCGAAGTGAGTGAAATGGACTATATAATTCACATAGCAACCATGTTATATTAGTCTTAAATATTTGTTCACAGGATACAGATTATCATATTTTTATTTGATCGAAATGAAAGTTCTTACTCTTTACATGTAAGTGACAAATCTAAGGCCTGTTGTAACTGTACAACTGGACTCCCCGTACAGCAAAGAAGCAATTCATGTAGAAAGAAAGAAGTTTGATCCAAAAAAGCATGATTTTTTTTTTCGAGATTAAGTCAATTAAAAAAATGGAAGAATTTACTTCTACAATTTTTTTTATGTTAGTTATATACTTAACCTTATATATTTAATATATTTATATCAAATCAAATTATGACATGTAATTTTTAATGTATTAATTTAATTAGTAACAAGAATGTATATAAAAAAATAATCTATAAAAAATTCACATATCTTAATTTAATTGGATACAAGCATATTAAGTATATAAGTTTTTTTTCATAATATATTTTTGTTAGTCAATAAATGAGGTTCATTACTTTCTTTACATCTTAATTAGATCAATTATAGTTTTTAGTAGATATAATTAATTCCATAGAAATTATATGTTATATTAAAAGTTAAACAAGAATTTTATTTATGAATTACCAATTTTATTTATAAATTGTGAAGTTAGTTTTGTAAATAAAAGTTAAATTAACTATAGAGTTTTATTAATTAAGTCTAACTTTAAATAACCCATAGGCTAAATATGTAAATTCTCAAGGAGCTCTATTATTTTCCTTACAATTAGATCAATTCTAGCCCTAAGTAAGCATAATTAATTTTATAAAAACTCTATATTATATTAAACGTTAAACAAGAATTTTACTTATAAATTATGAATTTTTATTTATATTTATGAAGTTGTAGTTGTAAGTGAAAATCAAATTAACTATCAAGGGCTTTATTAATTAAGTCTAACCTCAAACAATTTGTAGGCTAAACATTTAAATCTCAAATGAGCTCTATTACTTTCCTTACATTTCAATCAAATCAATTATAGCTTTAAGTAGGCATAATTAACCTCATGAAAATTTCATATTATATCAAGCATTAAATAAGAAATATGACTTATGAATTACAAATTTTTATTTGTAAATTGTAAAGTTGTAAATATAAATGAAAGTCAAATTAATATGGATAATATTGTCTTTACACTCCAGCCACAAATTATATTGGGAGAATATCATTAAAAAACACTTCAAATAATTTAATATATGACAAGGACTTCAAATAAGTAAACACTAACAATTAACAAGTAAAATTTAAGTTTTGACAAATATTTAATCTATTTAATTCCTTGTTTAATATTAATTTTTTTATAAGCCTTTCATTGATGTTCTTCAAATATTATATTTTTATCTTCAAGAATGAAAGAACTTGATTGTAATTCATGAATTTTATTAAACTTACTTGCAATAAGTCAATTATATGAGACTTATTCTTATTTTTTAAAATTTTAAACTGATATCATTTAATTCTGGAAAACACAATCATTACCTAATTTTATCAAATTTTACTTTTTATTACTGTAATTTTTTTAAGGTCTTAAAAAATAAATGTTACCTAATGTTATTAAAATTAAAAAAATTACAGGAAAGATAAAACTATAGTGACATGTGCCTAACCTTAGATTTATCAGGCATATGATTACCGGATGACCTCGCCTCCCACCGGTCGGCGCCTCACCTTCGCATCTCCGTATTACAGTCTCATAGCTTCGTATCTCTCTTTCAATCTCCATCTTCGTCCCACTCTTCCTCTCTAGCTACGCCACTCAATTGCTTCCTTCGCCTTTCGATCTCTCAATCTCCGTCTATCACTCATGCCTCACCCACGGACGACTTCGTCTATTTCCGAAAAAATGCTTACACTTTGTCTACCTCACTAAAAATCCTAACTTTGATTATAATTATTCAGAAAACAATTTGCTTATGGCTGCCCAAGCCATCTCTGAAAGTGCCCAGAAAATGGTCACCCCTGGAACCCTGCGCAATGCAGCCAAACAATCCCAACGCTGCCTCGTTGTCCCCGTGCGTCTACGTCGCGCCATTAAAAAATACTTACGAGGTCGCACTCTTCTCTTATTTACGTCCTCGTCTAATTTGTATGGTATATCCACGTAATTCTGTAGTTTCAAACTTATGTTAATGGTGGTGGGTTTGGAATTATAGAGGAGGAGGAGCCTCATATGAAGAAGAAGGTCTTAAGATTGTCTCAATCATTCAATCAAATCAAGGATGTCAACTTGCAGCTTACTGCTTCCACGTCAAAGGAGTTAGTTGAAGATCCTTTCAAGTCTGTTATACAATCTAAACGTTGGAAGATTCAGAGCTCTTATGGTGACATTGGTCTCACTTATAGAGATGACGAGACAATTGCTTATGTTGCATCTCGAATGCCTGCTGTTTACTCTGCATGTTATAGAGTGCTCAAGGAGGCAAGTAGGAAAAACTCAGAAAAGCCAAGAGTATATCTTTTGAATTATTAAAAAGCCTAAGCTGAGTGAGAAAGAGGAAATGAGCTTTGATTCTTTTATACCTTGTTAATAACTTCTTTTCTTATTAATAATATCCCCTAAATCATGAGCGTGAGGACCATTTATTTGATGCCTCAATCTCTGTAAGGGGTGAACTGTGCATTTGCTGCCTAGTCTTAACATTACTTTGTTACTATTCAATATTATGAATAACCAAACAAAAAACTTTTAGCATTAAGTAAAATGTTAGTATATTTGCAATGAATCTTTTAAAAAATTTGGCATTTTATGTCTCTTTTTAGGTTCGTAGAAGGCTTCCTGATTTCTCCCCGGCTAAGGTATTAGATTTTGGTGCTGGAACAGGATCAGCTTTCTGGTAAAGGGCTCTTGAACTTTGTTCTGGTGAATTGGCGGTTTTTGATATTATAAATCCTATTATTTTTTAAATTAATTTGTGGTGATTGAAACTTCCTGATCCAGGGCACTTCGAGATGTCTGGCCAAAGTCTTTGGAAAAAATTAATTTAGTAGAACCATCACAGTCAATGCAGCGTGCAGGTCAGAGACTGATAGAAGGTACTATTTGTTAATTTTTCTTTACTCATATTGGTATTTTAGTCCTTTCAATTTGAGGTGAAAGGGTGCAAGTTCAACCTGGCTAGCTTTCAAGTTATTTAGCTTGCCCTTTGTATTCAGAAAAATAGAGGTGAAAGAGAATAAGATATATGAAGTCTTAAAGAGAAGTATAGCCAAGCAACTGTGATGCATTGGAAATATGTATCGCGTTGGAACAGTGTGCTCTGATAATGATCATCAGCTTCAAAATTTGCTGAACTTTGGTTTAGTTTTGTGTAAACAACTCTTTGTATATTATGAGAGTGCTGTCGTGCTAAAATTAGTTGACATGCTTGGCCAGATGGATGGGGCAAATCCATGATGACAAATTAGTAATCTGAGATAAGTGAATGATGCTGGGGCATATCCAGATTTTTTTTTTTTAACTTTGAAGAATTAGATATCACTTGTACAAGTTAGAATACAAAGCCACTTGGACCTGCATACTAATTGCAGGAAATTATTCTTCTTTAAGCTATTCAGTGACTGTTGATGATAGAATAAACATAGCAGGAGAAAGAACAGCGAAGTATTTTCTCATTCTATTGTGAACTAAAATAAATGAAAGTTGCACCTTTGAAAGATGAAAGAAAAAGAGAAAAGATTGCTTTTTTCTCTATTAGATGAGAAGATGGTTAGAAAAAGCATGCAAAAACTTCTTTTGGGAAAGATAGGCACGCAAGCCTTGCTATGCTTGATTCTTCATTATCACATTCGAAGCTTCGAAGCTTTCTTCAATTGATGATACCTGAATAGTATCAGCTATTGAAATGAATTAATCTGTCCTGGCCTCAACTGTGCCCCATGATTGTCCTTGATATATTATAGCAAGGTACATCAATTTATATAGTGGGTAGCTTTTCTCTTCTTCCTAAAAGAAGATTCTTTTGCCATGTTAGTGAATCATATCATAAACTTTCAACAATAGGTCGGCTACATGGATTGCAAGACGCCATTGTGCTCTATCATTTATCAAGCTTTTAGGAATATTATTAATTAAAAGATTGCGTTCAACAACTCCCAAGAGTGTTCTCTTAGGCCTTCCTCTACCTCTCTTAATCAGACTCAAAATTATATGTTCCACTCTTCTCACTGGTGCCTCCCTTGGTCTTCTTTGTACATGCCCAAACCATCTCAACTGATTTTCTACCATTTTTTCCTCAACAGGTGCTACCCTCACTTTTTCGCGTACTTGCTCATTTCGAATTTTATCTTTACATGTATGTCCGCACATCCATTGTAACATTCTCATCTCTGCTACTCCAACTTTATGCTCTTGCTGTCCGGTTAGAGCCCAGCATTCACTACTATATAACATTGCCGGTCTGATAGCAGTGCGATAAAACTTTCCTTTAAGTTTATTAGGCACCTTACGGTCGCAAATAACTCCTTTAGCTTTTCTCCAATTAAACCACTCAACTTGAATCCTATGTGAAATATCTCCACTGATTTTGCCATCATTTTGAATAATGGCTCCCAAATATCTAAATTTTTCCACTTGAGATATAATTTAATCTCCCAATTTCACTTCCAAATTATTATCGAATAGTCTCTTACCAAATTTACAATATAAATATTCTGTCTTACTCCTACTCAGATGGAAACCTTTCGACTCCAATGTCCTCCTCCATAACTCAAGTTTGCAATTAACCTCTTCTCTTGTCTCTGCTACAAGAACTATATCATCCACGAAGAGCATACATTTGGGAATTTCTCCTTGAATATGTTCCGTCAAAACATTTAGGATCAAGTTAAACAGATAAGGACTCAGAGATGATCTCTGATGTAGTCCAATCTTTATAGGAAAATCCTTTGTTTGACTACTAGGCGTTCTTATACTAATTTTTACCCCCTCATACATATCTTGTATGGCTTTAATATAAGCAATTCATACTCCCTTTTTTTCCAACGCTTTCCAAAGCACTTCTCTTGGTATACGGTCATAAGTTTTTTCCAAATCAATAAAAACCATGTGTAAATCTTTATCTTTACAACGATACTTTTCCACTAATCCCCTTAGTAGATAAATTGCTTCTGTAGTTGATCTACCTGGTATAAAACCAAACTGATTCTCAGAAATACTTGTCTCCAATCTCAACCTGTGCTCAATTACTTTCTCCCATAATTTCATTGTGTGGCTTATGAGTTTAATCCCTCTATAGTTAGTACAATTCTGAATATCTCCTTTATTTTTATAAATAGGAATTAATGTGCTTCTCCTCCACTCATCAGGCATTTTCTTGGACCGTAAGATCACATTAAATAACTTAGTTAACCATCTCACTCTTTCTTCACCTAAACATTTCCACGCTTCAATAGATATACAATCAAGTCCGTTGGCTCTACCATTTGCCATTTTCTTAAGAGCTTCCTTTACCTCCTTATCACGTATTATTCGATAAAATGACAAATTTTGTTCTCCTTCACCAGTTACTAAATCATCCAAGTTACTAGATGAACCCTCTCCATCATTGAAAAGTTTGAAAAGTAACTCTCCCATCTATTTTTAATTTCATCATGTGTAACTAAAATTCTTCCCTCTTCATCCTTAATACACCTTACCTGTTCTAGATCCCTTGATTTTTTTTTCCTACTCTTGACAATCTTATAAATGTTTCGTTCTCTTTTCTTCGTCTCAAGGCTCTTGTAAAATTTTTCAAAAGCTTTAGAACGAGCTTCACCCACAGCTCTCTTAGTTTCCTTCTTAGCCATACGGTACCTCTCTCAATTTTCCTCATTGTTACACAAATGTATAGCTTTAAAACAGTTCTTCTTATACTTGATTTTGTCTTGTACACTATTATTCCACCACCAAGACTCCTTATCTCTCGGACCAGAACCTTTTGATTCTCCTAAAACTACTTTTACAACCTCCCGTATCTTTTTAGCCATATCCTCCCACATGATGTTAGCACTTCCCTGAGATTCCTAAATTTCTTTCTCCAAAAGATTTCGCTTGAAAATATCTTGTTTTTCATCTTTTAATTGCCACCACCTAATCCTTGGTGCTACTACTTGTCGACGGTTTTGGATTTTACTCATAATACACACATCAAGGACTAGGACCCTATGTTGTGTCGTTACAGCATCTCCGGGGATCACCTTGCAATTTTTACAAAGTCTTCTATTTGTGTTCCTAATCAAAAGAAAATCAATCTGTGACCTTGAGGTTCCACTTTTGTAAGTGATGAGATGCTCATCTCTTTTCTTGAAACAAGTGTTGGCAATCTTAAAATCATATGCCAATGAGAAATCAAGAAGAGTTTGTCCTTCATTATTTAGCTCTCCAAAAACAAAACCACCATGCACCCTTGTATATTAACCAGCCTCCCTCCCAACATGCCCATTAAAGTCTCCTCTAATAAAAATCTTTTCACTCTGTGGTATGTGTCGAATCAACCCCTCCAGATCCTCCCAAAATAATTCCTTAAGACTGGCTTCTGTCCCAACTTGCGGCGCATAAGCGTTAACAATATTAACAGTCTCACATCCAATTATCATTTTTAAGGAAATAATTCTGTCTCCAATTCTGCTAACTTCTACAACATTCTTCTTCCACTCCTTATCCATAATAATGCCTACTCCATTGCGTGCGTTTACTTTTCCTGTATACCAAAGTTTGAAACCTTGAATATCCTTCGCTTCTTCTCCACGTCATTTTTGTTTCTTGCAGGCAAAGGATATTGATTTTCCTTTGAATCATAACCCCTACAACCTCTACAGATTTACAATTCAATGTCCCAACATTTCAAGTATCAAATCTACTTTTGCTCTCATGGACTAACCTCTTTAGCCGCGCGCGTTCAGAATGACGCGGTAGCCTTTGCTCATTTAACATTACATCCGGGCGCCGATGCAGCGGCTCTAATTCACTTATCACTGTACTCGAGCCATGCAGCGCGTTACTTATGGGCAATGACCTAGCATTAATATTATAACGTCTATTGTCCATGTTCATGATAGATTCAACAAAGTTTTATATTAGCTGTTGATGGCCTAACACAACCCTCCTCCTTTACCCGGGCTTGGGACCGGCTATAAACATAGGCGGAGTTCATATCATAAACTTTCAAGTTTAGTAATATCAAAAAAGGAAAAGGGATTTCTACTGCACCCTATTAGAGGTTTGTTTGATTTTGCTCAAGATATATCTGTGCATTAGTCTGACTAGGATTGCATATATTGAAATCTGTCCCTTCTGATACTTATAAAAAGGAAGTTAATGATTGATGAAAATTTTTATTTTCTCTTCTGTTAATTATTCAGGTCAGAAGAATTTGCCACTTATTCATAGCTATGAAAGCATTCAAGCACTTTCAAAAAATATTGGTAAATCTGAGAGAAAGCATGACCTTGTAATTGCAGTAAGTTCATTCTTTTGGTTTTATTTTTAATTACCAACTAGTTGTTTGCTCTTCAAGTTCAATGTTTTTATTGTCAAGAGGTGATAATAGCTAACCAAAAAATCAGCCCAAAAACTTGTAAAAGTGCAGGTGTTATACCATAAAAATCTCCTGCGACATTCGTCTCAACCAAAATTCACTGATTATCTAGAATCATCTTGTTTGTCATGAAAGTAAATTATGAAACATCTAAACTGTACTTGCCTTTTCTGTATTGCTGGCAGTGACACGCTTTCTTTCATATACATTTCCAAGCATTTCTTCATCTTTTCTTTAATTGATTCTAATTAATTTTGCAATTCATTCTTATGGGTTAAAAGTCCTATGTACTTGGAGAGATACCATCACTAAAGGATCGTATTACCTTGGTTCGCCAACTTTGGGATCTAACACAGGATGTTCTGGTATGATCTCAATTTTATAGTTCGTTTGTTTCAAAATGCAATAATTTTCAAGTACTTATTCATCTGACTTATTAGCTTCTTTTATTCAGTTTTTTATTTTGGGTAACTTAAAAAGAAAAGTTACCATTTCAACAATTTTTATTAAGTAAAAAAGAAAAATAAAATTGTGAAGAAGCTTGTGGGGGTGATGCTTCTGAGCAGAGCAATTTTTAATTTCTAAATTCCCTCCTTCTGTTAGGTCCTTTGTGATATTCAATCTAATGTTGTCTAATTTCTGAAATCAACACCTGGTAGGTTTTGGTTGAACCTGGGACGCCTCATGGATCTAACATTATAGCTCAGATGAGATCTCATCTATTATGGATGGAAAAAAGGGTAACATTAACCGTTCTTTTTATATTGTTATTTTAGAAAGTTTGAAATGGAGATCTTTCAAAATGATGTCTTTTTCCCTTTGTGGTTATTCTTCAGTTCTATTTAAATATTTTTGTTCTTATGAGGCATAGAATATTGTAACTTTCTAGAAATTCCGTAAAATTGCCCATGGGAGCAATGGAGTTTGTAAAGACTTGATCACTCAGAAAAATGGGGCTTTTGTTGTTGCTCCTGTAAGTATGTTACTTTTTGAGTCAACTTCCTTTTTTAACATTGCAATTTGCCATATTCACTTTCCATTTGCTTCCCGTTTTGATCATTGACTTCTTATCTGATAAATTTTCATTGTGCAGTGTCCTCATGATGGCCCTTGTCCACTGGTAAAAACTGGAAAATACTGTCATTTTGTTCAGCGGTTGGAGAGGACATCATCACAGCGTGCATACAAGGTTTCTCTTTAAATTTTCTACTTTTGTTGTTGGAATGAGTCTTATGATTGATGCGCTCTTATTTCCCTCTTTTTCTGAATAATAAAAAAAATATCATCCTAATGAGAAATATATTTATATTCTAACAACTATATATTTTTGTAGCGTTCCAAAGGTGAGCCCTTACGTGGATTTGAAGATGAGAAGTTTTCTTATGTTGCTTTCAGGCGAGGGCAAAGACCAATGTGAGCACTTTAAATTGATGCTAAGAGTTCTGTCTCATGTAACTTTGACATGTGGACATTTATCTCACTTGGCTATGAGAAAATATAAATATTTTAACACCTGCCTTCTTTTTCCTAATTAATTTATTATTAGTTACCCCTTATTTTATTGATTTTTTATTCAAAGCCAATAAATGCTTTTTCATTATGATTCATTGGCCATTGAGCAGTATAAACCATGTCTTGTATGACTTAAATTTATTTATTCATGCCATGGGATGAATTTTTAATTTTTTCCGCTCATCCCTTGGACCAGGGGACCTTGGCCTCTTGATGGCATGCAATTTGAGACTTTAAAGGAGCAGCAGGCGAAACGAAATCCAGAGGATCTTGAAATTGACTATGGTATTCCTCATGCTTGGGTACACATGTTTCTCTTAATGATTGATTTGGCACAATACAACTAGTTTAGGTCACAAAATCAGATTCAAAATTATAAATGTTCAGCAGTAAAGCGAATTAACCTGTTTACCTTGTCAATTTATAGGTATTAGTTTTTCTTAGAACTTTTTACTTTGACTAAGATATGACATAATTGCTGAATAATTATATTATGTCATTGTGTGTGTGTGTGTGTGTGTGTTAGCTTGACCAACTTAACCTGCAACCCTCTTCACAATTGATTGTCCCATCTCTTAGCAAAACAGGTCAGCCTAAACCACCATCCTGGATGACAAGCCAAGTTGGGCTGGGTTGAGTTAGGTTGACTCATTTTGATTCTTCTACTTTACCTAGTCTTTGGAGAAGTGTCTCAAAAACAAACCTTTTTGTTTCCATATTTTTTATTTTGACTCCCTTTTCCTTGTCAGAGGACTTGTTGAAGTTACAAGAAGCTAGTGATTCTCCTCATGAAGGAAAGGATTTGGTTACTTACGATTCTGATGTCGTTGAAACCGAGGCAGATAACGACAGCGAGGAGGATGATGAGGGAAGCGAAGTGGATGAAATTGGTGGTGCTGATGTTGGTGGTGGCTGGGGCAGAATAGTTTTTATGCCAGTGAGGAGGGGAAGACAGGTAGCAATGAATGTTTGTAGATCCACCCAAAGGGATGCCTCAGAGGGTTCTTTTGATCGTATTGTTGTTACACAGAGCAAAAATCCTACATTGCATCATCAAGCCAAAAGATCTATCTGGGGTGACTTGTGGCCCTGTTAAGGCAAACAATTTTGGGAAAATGGTTAAATTCTCTTTCTTTTTGGGCTGGGCCAACCCACAAGTGATTTTCATTTTTGTGGGGTAAGTGAGGCCCAAAAAGTCGAAAAATCAACCTGAGATCCCTCATTCCATCATCCCCATGGCAAAGATTGGAGTTCTTTTTTCTCCTTTCTTTCTAGAAGGGTGCTGCCAATGATTAGATTATGTGGGGAAAATAATATCCGATATGTTTTTTCAAAATGTAAGATTTCTTGGGAGGACTAGTTTTCTGTATTTTGATGGCTTGCACAAGCTAGCATTCATTCCATAGGTGTTTACTTCATTCTGTAGGTGGTGTAGTTATATGCTCACACGTATACGAATGCTGCTGCTTAAGTAGGATGCGACAATACGCATTCCATGGAATCTTCAAAAAGTGACGTATTATTGTTGTTTAAATATATAAATTTATCTGCCGGAGGTTCAAATGTTGAAGTTAGATATTTAGTTGGGATATTGATAATAAAGTTCTAAAACTGAAAACTTATTACAGTTAATTTCCCAAGTTCATGATAAAAACTTTTTTTAAAATAAATTGAAAATATTGATTTAAACAGTTATAAATAAAAATTTAAATTGTAAATGAGATTTATGTTTAAAATTTAATTGTTTTATTTGTAGTAAGAATTTTTGAATTTAAGATTATCTAAATTAATGTTTACAATTAAATTTTTAAGGAATTGATTATCATAAATTCATTGTTTTGAGATTTTAGTGTCATTCCCTCTATTCATTTAGTAAGAAGCATTTGTATCGTACGTGCGATTTCAAGCATTATTTGCTGCGTATTATTGGCAAATTTTCAAATTGCTGTTTATCTGTAGAACTTTGGAAAACCCACTAAATTATATCATGCATTATCATTATTATTATTATTATTATTATTATTATTATTATTATTATTTAATGCTGTTACTGATAATTACATACTCTGACCTATTTGGTACTCCTTCTGTAACACCCTCAAATTTACAAACTGATTTTTCGCAAATCATTAATTCAATAAATCATTTTTTTTTCATTGAACCCTCATCATACCCTTATCATGATAGAAAAATTTCTACCATGATACATCTAAGACAATATACCACAGGTCTTAAAATATTTCAAAAAAAACAATTAGAACCATGAGGGACAGACAGGATCCTCATGGCATGATATTTAAATCAGGTCATGAATCAAGAGGGACAGATATAATCCTCTTGGTCATATAAATACTTTTAATAAAAAGGATTAGAGTTTACATGCTTCACAAAGAAGATATGTCCTAAGTTGGCACAAGATACATTGTATAATCCAAAATAAGAGGCAACGTAAAAGATGGTGTCTCATACACCATAGTTACACCTCTGGTGCTTTCTCGGCCGGACTCGCTCCTGTAAAAATGTTAACCACGGGGAATGAGACTTAAAAGTTCCAGTAACCAAAAATTAATATGTAATGATGCATGCAGATGTAACTAATCATGCGATTGCTAAGTGGGCACACAAAACATTTAACCGAACAATACTTTCAAACAAACCGAACAAGTATTTAATTTGCATGACTGCACCTTATATCCTCCTTTCGCCATGCTCGGACGCCAAATCACCCGGCCAAAGGTGAGTTGGACCAAGCGACACGCCACTCATTGGGTCCAATGAGGGCTTACCACGTGGTAATAATTAACCGAATAGAAATTTCCATTAACACCATACATTAAAATACCCTGACAAGTCATGCATCATTCAAATATCCAAACAGAAATATATCCGAACAATAATATCTCATCATGATAAATAAAAAATAAATTTTTAACCCACTTGGCAATGATTTCACGGAAGTATATAACAGTATTTATTTTCAATAATTCATAATTTTTCCAAACAACAAAACAACACATAACCATTCACAAACACACCCATCACAAACACATTAATAATGGTTACCTTGTGTCTTGAATAACAAGTTTCCCTTCACAACTCCTTTTTCACCACTATCTTTGTCAATATAATCTACATAATTATTTCACAATACTATATATTAATTTTACATTAAAATAAATAACTCTAATTTAAAGAGTTAGAAAGTCTTAGATCTATAGTCTATATTAACACTAATTTAAGATTTATGTCTCATTTAACTTCCCAAATTCTTTTCTAAAATTCTCGTACCCTAATGAACTATTTTTTTTTATCCTCAATTCACTTCTAGTATCACAATTTCATCCTTCTATATTCTAAAAATTTATCCAAAAATAAATTAAAAATTTTAGAATTATCTTGAAGCCTCAAATCACCTTTCTATAACCTCAAAAATACCTATTCATACTTAAATAAATATTTAATAATCATAGGTTTATCCCTACGTCTCAGATTCCACATAAATTCAGCCATATAGATCTAGATTTTAACTCAAAAATTCTTAAACATGAGTTTCAACTTTAAGAAAATATTCTATAATATTTTTTTATATCCTTAAGAATTTTAACCTATATTTTTAATTCATCATATCATCAGATTAACTATCCTATAGAAAAATCCTAATCAAAATATTTACTCTATCCTACAAAATAATCATATCACTAGAAAGCTAATATTATTTAGAAAATAATTATAAAATTAATTTTGTAATTAAATAAATTTTTAAATGCTAATCTAAACAGGAAAGTTAGAACATACCTGAAGAAAAAGAAAATAATCCCCCCTTGCAAGAAAACGCCGAGGATAATATAAAAATGGGATTGTGAGTCCCAAAATTATATTAAAAAAAACTATAGGTTTGAATTTAATTATTCAAACCTTTGGGCCAAAAGTTGTAATTTTTTTTTAAATTGCATCTTAGCCTCTCATGCTTCCTAATGCACACACCCCCTCCTTTTTATACATGAAGGCACCTCTTCTCTTCCCTCATCTAACCAATGTGAGACTTAGAAACAACAACCTTCCACCCCCTTTTTTTTTGTTCCTTCTACCTTCTCTTTTTTTTTTTCAACACATACATAAAAAAAATTATTTATGTATTATATCTTAACTAAATATTGCTTATGTGGTTTTAAATTTAAATTTTTAAATTCATAATTAAATACCTAACCATAATATTATTTTTAAATAACCTCAAATAATATAAATTCCTATTATTATCATTTTTTTTCTCAAAACCTAAATTCCACAATTTTTTTATTATATAAAAAATCAGGATGTTACACCCTCCAGTCTGCTTTACTGGTCACGTTTTAGAAGAAAAATGTGGTCCCCAATATTAGTCACTTGCTAATGACAACTCTACATTTTAAAATGAAGTTTTCAAAATACCCTCACTCATGTGAGAGAGAAATACAAGAAAATAATGTTATATTGATTGATCGCAGCTTTTGCCTTTTCATTTGAGAATTAGTTTTAGAATTTTATTTACAATTATTTCTTATACTTTTATTATATTAATATTGATAAAGTTGATAAAAATAATTTATAAATATAATTAGAGGGAGTATACGATATGCTGAAATTGTCAGATGAAAAGAGAAATTTCATGATTTGATATCTAAGAAAGGAGACAATGTGGAATCACAAGGTTTTCAATGCATGATTAGTTTCCATAACTGAAAGGAAGAAAAGTCACAGGGCACCTTGAGATCCTTACTTAAAAAAAAAAAAAAAACCTGGGGGACGGTTCATTCTTTTTGCTATAAATTGCTATCTTCAATCCTTCTATATGTAAAATTTATTGTTTCAATTCCTACACACATATCAGACATAATTTGCCACACCTGTTTTCATTTCATTAACAATATTTGCCCCCTCCCAAATGGAGCCTTAATGACCAAAACAAAAACCAATTTGCCACTAGAACTGCAAAGAGTAAACTACAATTAAAATGTTAAAGGCACTTTCTTAGGATTTGAACTAATGGTGATGTTTGCAACTAATTGGCTTGCATAACTAAAATTAAGGTTTCTTATATAACTCATCAGTAGGCAAACTAGAAAAGTGAAGCATTTAAGCAATACAGAACTTAATCCTACAAAGTTTAAACATTTACTTTAATAGATTTAGCTTCATCATTGATGAAATAGCTATCGTTCCACTTATGTGCTAGAGTCCACACATTTTCCTCGCAGGTTGATTTTTCATGCTTAGCTTCCTGCAAATTTCCAAGAATTGTATCATATCTCAAATTATAGCAAATGTACAATACTGCAACTTAGTTCTTTGCCAAGGTGACATTACCATCATCATCTTCTTTCCCACATGACTCTTGGATCCACCAATGCATGAAATTTCCTGCTTCTTCGTATTTTCAATAAAATGAAATGTTATTATCAATGAATTTGAAGACCAAGAGAAAAGGAAAAAAAAAAAAACATTCACATGATTCAACAAGAATGAAAACTTGAAAACATTATAAAATTACCCCTTGAATTTTTGGCTTTCGAAGTTCAGGTGGCAATTCAACCTGAAGGTCCTGAAGGCTAAAATCTAAGTCTTTCTGCATCGGTAATAGTTCTTCTTCCTTATGCTGTTATTCAAATGTCTCTTCTAGTCCTGACTTAAATTGTGTTATCATCTCATCTTGCAGATCTGCATAAGATACCCCAGAGATCCCCACAATAGAGCAAGTTGGGCATCTGAATATCTGGGATGAATCAGCGCCATCCAATCCTTGAATTGGATCAAGTTGGTCATGATTTCTTGTAGTCCTTGCCAAGAAATCTTGATTTGAAATGTTTCGGGGTTAGACGACATCCTGTCTTCATCCTCCTACATATAATGAAATTGTTTTAACTATTTATAAAGAAAAAAGAATTGGGACTATAATTATATTCTGCATAAGAAATTTTTTCAGTAATCCAACGCAATTAATCGATTGGGTGGGAGAGACTGTGTCTGTCAACCAGAGTGAGGGAAAAAGGGAAAAAAGAATTCATCTTACAAAAAATTTGTTTTAGCATTATTATTTAAATGGTAGGATTTGAAATAATGGTAATGTTTGCAAATTATTGGGACAGCCAACATATCGATTCTGTCGCTTTTATTTTCCAACAATAAATTATTTGTCTACATAAAAATTGACTCATCATCACAAGTCAAAGACATGAAGAAATAGATTTTATACTTAGTCAGATAATTTTCAACCTTTTTATACCTAACGCAAGCAGAAATTCCTTATACCATATATAAATACACCATCTAAGGCTTCCTATAATCATCAGCAAGCAAAATAGAAAAGCATTGAAGCATTTTAGAAATATATAGCACTTTAGTCCCACAAAATTTGAACATGTGCATTAGTAGAATTAGCTTCATTGTTGACGACAGAGTCATGGTTCCTCTTACGTGTGAGAATCCACACATTGTCCTCGCAAATTGAGTCCTCATTTTCATCTTCCTGCAAATTAGCTTCATTGTTGACGACAGAGTCATGGTTCCTCTTGGATTTGCTAGTGTATGGAATCTTTTGTGTCATTGTATCTTCAATATTTTTCCAGGGTGTCCTCCTGGTAACTGATGAAGAAATATGAAATGTTTAGATGAGAAGGTACTTTATGCTACACAAAACAAAAAAACACCAGGTACATACATAAATAATATCCATCACTAACATGAGCCAAAACTTCAAAAATTTCTGAAACCTGCATGTCTCTCTTTGGTCAAAACATTCAAGCCCTTTGCTGTGACCATGCACATCCAAAGTGAATGATTCTAAGCCAAAAATGTCTAAATATACACTGAACCTTGGAAAACAAAAGAACAAATTGAAAGATAAGGGTTACCGAACCTAACACTAGTAATTAGCCCGAACCTACTAAATAAAAAATGAGGGCCGGGCTTATAAAAAATATGACTTTTTTTAAAAAAAAAATTAGGCCTATTTAGGTACGAATACCAAAATAGAAACAATTATATTTTTTAAAAAAATATAAAATATAATAAATATTAATCAATTCTTTAAATTTTATATCATTTTATACTAAAATATCATATATTTGAGTCTTATATATCGTTTAAGTATCCAAAAAATATATTCTATATTTTTAAAATAAAATAATTAAGTTTAAAGTAAAAAAATTAATTAAAAATAAATTTAAAAATAAAATTTAAATATTTGGGCTGTCCGAAGGAATTTAGGTTGGGTTTGACCATTCGGCTTTTCAAGGAGTTTCAGTTTAAATAGGCCTAACCCTCCCAAATTCTTAACTCTAGTCAAACCTAGTGGAGGAAAATAGAGAAGAGAAATGCAAAACTTTGATGGCTCTCATGAGCTGAGAACTTGAAGAAATTCTAACCAAGGCACAAATTAAGACCTGAAAGAGTGGACGGAGGGCTTAAATTGAAAAGTGAATCAACTAAATCACGATTTTTTTAACACTCTGTTTGGTTTGAGAGAAAGAGAGAGATTTTCATGAAAGAGAAGTACTTTGTTTGGTTCAAGAAGGGAGAGAAGGAAAAATAATTATATATAGACAATTATATCCTTACCTTACTAAAATTATTCTTATTTTTTAAAATTTTAATAATATATATATATATATATATATATATGAAATTTAAAAAGGCAAGGATAAATATACATCTCACCCACTAAACCAATGAAAACATTTTTTTTTTTAAAAAAAGATCAAATATTAATATTAAAAAGATAAAAATATAAAATAAAATAAAATATTAGTTAATATAAAACAAGTTAATATATAAAACATAGTGACAAAGACCACGATCTAAACGGAGGGAGAAGAAACAGTGGATGGCGATCTAAACGGAGGGAGCAACAACGAAGGATAACGATCTGAATAGAGGGAGCAGCGACGATGGCACAAGTTGGGGAAGAGAGATGGCAACACAAGCAGTTGTGAAGAACTTCAACCCCAATGACAATCTGAGCAAAGGGAGCAATGACAATGGCATGTGCTAGGGAAGATGGATAGTGGCCTCATTTGTGGGAGATAGATGTTGGTGCGATCTTGGGGAGATGGATGCTGTAGCAATTTGGGGGAGAGGAACGATGGCCTAAGTTGGA